TAAAACATCATCGAGAATTCAGACAAATCCTTGAGAGAAAATGCTATACAGTAAGGGCTGCCCTTTCAAATGAGTAAAGAAAAGATGAATGTTAACTAAATAATATTGGAACAATTGACTACTCATTTGGAATAAATGAAACACCAAAATAAATTCCAGACAGGTCAAAGATGTAGATGCAATAGCGAAACCCTGAACATACCGGAAGAAGACAAAGGTATGTTGTTGTTTTTACATAATCTTCTAGTGGATAAGAGCTTTCTCAATACAGCAAAAAAGGAAAATAATAATAAATTTTCATGCCAAAAAAGTAATTACCCAAATAATAAAACGGTAAAATATTTGCAACACATAAACACAAGAATATCTTGTTTTATATGTTTTTATAAAGCATATAAAAGGCTTTAACCAATAATTGAGAAAAGATGAATACTGAAGTAGAAAACTAGACAACGAATTTGCAGACTTCAACACAATTAGGCAAATACAATCTGTTTTAAAATCTCTTATTATGGAAAACTTAAAACATACAGAAAAGTAGAGAGATTGGTTCAATGAACCCCTAGACCTCATTCCCAACTACAGCAGCAAGCAATTCCTGGCCACCCGTGTTTCATCCATACAACACTCACATTCCCAACCTACCCACCCACTGAATTTAATGAAGCAGGCCATTTGATCTGTAAATACATCATAGAGTACAGCTGCCCCTCAGAATTATGGGGGATTGATTTCAGGACCCCTGAGGATATCAAAATCTATTGATGTTCAAGTCCCTTACATAAAATTTGCGTTTAATTTATGCATATCTTCTTGTATACTTTCAGTCATCTCTAGATTACTCATAACTACTAATAATATGCAAAGGCTATGTAAATAGTTATTATTCTGTATTGTTTAGGAAATAATGACCCAAAAACAGTCTGTACATGTTCAATACAGACATAACTATCTCTTTTTTCTTTTCTTTTTCTTTCCTTTTTTTTTTTGAGGCAGAGTCTTCCTCTGTTGCCCAGGCTGGAGTGCAATGGCATGATCTCCGCTCACTGCAACCTCCACCGTCCAGGTTCAAGCAATTCTCCTCCCTCAGACTTCTGAGAAACTAGGATTACAGGCATACACCACCATACCCGGCTTATTTTGTATTTTTAGTAGAGATGGGGTTTTGCCACGTTGGCCAGGCTGGTCTTGAACTCCTGACCTTAGGTGATCTGCCCACCTCAGCCTCCCAAAATGCTGGGATTACAGGCGTGAGCCATCGTGCCAGGCCCATCTTTCTTTTTTCTAGTATTTTCACCTGCAGTTGGTTGAGCCTACGGATGTGGAATACACAGATATGGAGAGTCAACTGTATATGTATATGATGATAAAATGATGTTTTCCCTGTTGTATTGGCAGAGGTCAATTAATAGGAATGAATTGTGCAGAGGGCTTTGAAAAAGGGAGAAAAACAAAAAGAATATGGCTCATACCTGAATATTCTCTCAGAGGGAAAAAAGGGAGTTTCGAAAATAAAGCAAATGTTTTCCACTTTCCTTCAACAAACAGTAAGAACAGCCACAACTGCTTGAATACCGAATCTGGAACAAGAGAAGCAGAGGCATTTTGGGGAGGGCCGGTGGGAGGTAGGGGAGAGGTGGGGGGAATGTCCAGAAAAAGACAGGCTGAGCAGGAGTGACAAAGGTATCTCAAACCAACTCTTTCTATGTGCATCATCTGTGTGCTGAGTACACATGGTCTCTAGGAGGATGGTGTCAGCCTGCAAACTTGTTTTTTTTATTGTAGACTGCAAACTTCTTGAGGGCAGGCCCCTCATCTTTTCTTTTCTTTCTTTTTTTTTTTTGAGACGGAGTTTTGCTCTTGTTGCCTAGGCTGGAGTGCAATGGCATGATCACGGGGCTCACCACAACCTCTGCTTCCTGGGTTCAAGTGATTCTCCTGCTTCAGCCTCCTGAGTAGCTGGGATTACAAGCGTGTGCTACCGTGCCTGGCTAATTTTGTACTTTTAGTAGAGATGGGGTTTTTCCATGGGCTGGTCTCGAATTCCCAACTTCAGGTGATCCGCCCTCCTTGGCCTCCCAAAGTGCTGGGATTACAGGCATGAGCCACTGCACCTGGCATCTCATCTTTTCTTCTGTGCTAATGCCTTATATCATGTTCGCCCTTATGTCATCAGCAATGAGGAATCGCTGCATCATCCCCACACCCTCCATCATGTGGCTGAATAACATTGATGAGTTGATTCCCAAACCTCCTTATCAGTCCATAAACTGACCGTGGCTTCATATGAATAAAATAGCAGTAAGTGATAAAGGGCTTGGCCTTCAGCCTTTGGGGTAGCTGAGCACACTCAGAAAGGTATGTCACCTGATGGGCTCAACAGGCTTTCTGCCTGAGTCACTTTCCTGGGACCAGCCCTGTCAGCACTTTGCCTTTCTTCAAGTTATGTTTCAGGTCAGGGAGGAAGCTGAAAACTCAACAAGTAAAGACCTGACTTCTGAGTGCACACGAGGGGAGGACCTTAATATTAATATTAATATAATGCATGTCTTTTAAAATGGTCTGACTGAAACGAATTCAGTCCTGGGCGATCTGCAGGTGAGACCCTGTTGAAGGCTGAATCCACAAACACCACCTGGCACCGCACTGGACTTCCTAATTTCCAAAGTCCTTCATCACAGAAGGGAAACTCCATTTTGTTCAACAAACCTTGGCTATTTAAGAACACACCATCTACGTATATGTAGGTGGTAAGGCAGGAGGTAGGTTGCAAACTGAATAAAATGAAGTCTTAGCCCTTGGTGATTTTATCATCTAGAAAAGTAGAACACTGTGCTAGTGAGACCAGTGATTTTTGAGCACCTGCTCTGCACCAGGCACTGTGCTAGGCACTTAGCATGTGTGATTTCAGGGCAGTTCAAGGTCCAAAGTGAGATGAGAGCTCAGAGAGGTTTCAGAAGTTTCCTGAGGAAGTGACACTGGAACTGGCTCTTGAGGAATAAGTATAATTTTAACAGGTTGAACTGGTGAAAGCAGTGGAAGGAGCCAGGATTTTTTTTTTTTTTTTTTTTTTGAGACAGAGTTTCACTCTTGTTGCCCAGGCTGGAGTGCAATGCTGTGATCTCAGGTCACTGCAATCTCCACCTTCCTGGTTCAAGCAATTCTCCTGCATCAGCCTCCCAAATAGCTGGGAATACAGGCGCCCGCCACCACGCCCAGCTAATTTTTGTATTTTTAGTAGAAACGGGTTTCACCATGTTGGCCAGATTGGTCTCAAACTCCTGACCTCAAGTGATCCACCCACTTTGGCCTCCCAAAGTGCTGGGATTACAGGTGTGAGCCACTGCACCCAGCCAGTCTTCGTTTAAACTATAAACTCAGTTTCTCCCAAAATTAGTTCAGCCTGAGCCCAGGAATGAACAAGGACAGCTAGAAGCAAGACGGAGTCGGTGAAGTTAGATCTCTTTCACTGTCTCAGTCATCATTTTGCAAAGGCAATTTCACAAATGGGAAGAAAGGACTGGTAGATAGATGCAGGGCAGAGAGAGGGCTCTGAGCTTTGAGCCTGGATGATACAGGTTTGGCAAGACTATTCTAAGAAGGAGACCAGAGAAGGAAGTTTGGAGAAGGTAATTAATCTGAGTATGTTGAATTTGTCTTGCAGAAAAATCCTGTGAAGGAGACCTCTGGGAGGCTGTTTTAAATGCTGAGGAGGGAAAGGGGTGGGCCTAGAGACCCAGATTTGAAGTGATTTCTAGTCTATTCATAGCTGAAGCTCAAGAAGAGAGTAAGATGAGCAGAGATAGAGAAGACAGAGAGAAGAGGACATCAGACTCGAGTAAATTCAGTTTGAGCTAAGAAAGGAAGACAGTGAAAGAGGCAGAGAAGGAATATTAGGAAGCTGGACAAACAAGAACTGGGTAATTTGGAACAAAGTGTTGCCCAATTTTAGAATCACAAATAAAGCCAATGAAGATCTTTAAACTTAAAAAAAACAACACAAAAAACAAACAAAAAAACTGGGTAATTGACAATACGAATGAAGAGGGAGGAGGAGAGGACTTTAATTCTTTAGGAGACCCCAGATTAGAAAAAAATAAGCAATTAGTGAGAAAAAAAATGATGGAGTGGTTAAACATCTGTGTTGCTCTCCTTTGAGAAGGTTAACTATGGAAAGAGGAAAAGGGTGTTGGTGGCTGCAAACCACAGAAAGGCTGAGAAAGGGTTTTACCATAGCTCTGCCTCTAATCGCTGACTCATGATCTCACATAAGACACTTAACCTCAAGCCACCTGCCTGTAAACATAACTGGCATAAATAACATCAGGCATGCCCATTTCACAGCCCAAGTGCTTCCCTCTCAGACCATAAGCTCGAGGACAGCGGCCGTCCACACCTTATTTACTTTCATCTTCCCAAGACAATAGTCCTTCGGAGGATGCCGAGTGGCGTGGGAAGTGCGAGCAGGGACGAGCGCCGACCGGCCCGCGGCTTCACTGCTCCGCATCGCTGTGCGGCCGCCTCACCGCGCATCCCGCCTGAATTCTTCACCACCGAGATGAGGACTGTGATCGCCCCTATTCCACAGAGACGCGGTGAAGGAGGAGCAGTCACAGACTCAAAGCCCCCAATCGGCGGCTCTTGGAAATGGATGAGTTTTTCACTCGCACGCTACGAGGCGACAAGGCACGCGGAAGAGAAGGGAAGAGAGCCAAGGCCAATAATTTATCTCAAAGTAAAAGACTTCCCGGGAGAAACAAACAAACAAACAAACCAAAAAGCAAAAACAAAACAAGAACCCGGCTATGAGCCTCTGCGCTTGCGCTCTCCTAGGTCTACTAGACAGCCGCCAGCTCCTAGGCCAGCGTCTTAGTGCGCCTGCGCCAAGCCCGACTTCCGCCAAGGCTCTATCGGCTTCCAGGCTACTTCTCCCGGCCTAGGGAGGGCCTGCGTTTTGGTGAGAGGAAGGAGTCTGGTGACGGTGCGCGCGTGCTGATGACGAAAGCGGAAGTACACGAGCAGAGGAGGGACCAGAACCCAAGAGGGGCTCGGGATTGCGGAAGTTTGGTGGGGAGGGTCGGACCGCTGGTGGAGCGCAGTGTTGTCTAAAACAAGTGCCGGAAGGGAGGCTGCGGGTCGCGGTCGGAGAACCACCGTCCTCCCTAGTTTGGTGACTGTTACCCCGGACGCGGTTCGACGTTGCTGCTGTTGGCTCTCCTCACCCCTCATTCCCCCCGGGAACCGCCCGAGAACTCCGCTATGGCATCCACTTCGCCCAACCTCCAGGTATCATTGCTCATCTCCCGTCCCCTGAGGGAGCTGGGACCCAGGGGAGGCGCGAGAATCGGGTAGGGGGCGAGGAGAAGGGAGGAAGCGGCTGCGCCTGTGGTCGGGGCGGAGGAGGGCGGGTCCGGGGAGCTGCAGCAGGTGGGAGAGTGACCCGTCTTTCACCAGAAAGGTCGTTTATGGCCGGCTCTTGGGGTCTCCCTAGCCACTGGCTTTGTGAGACTTCACTTTTGTTGGAGCTTCCCTCTTTCCCTCCCTCCCCGCTAAACCGGCCAAGATTTGGGCAGGTCTCTCCCAATCAGTGTTAGGGAGAAATAAAGAACGTAATGTTTGCAAAAAGCCGTGTTCTGGACCAGTTGAAAAGAGAATGGTCATAGTTCGGTTCCATCTTAGTTTCTCAAGCTGACAGCAGACCTCTTTCCGAGCTGTCAAGTGGGTAGAAATATGGGAACAGCCCAAGAATCTGAGGTTACAGCCAGCCTACATACAATCTCCGTGAAGCCATTACATTTATGTGCACTCTCCTGTGAGTCCCAGATTGTAGTGTGTATGTCGAGAAGTATGCTTAAGCTTCTCTGTGGCTCCACTTTCCCTCCCCCACCGCGGTGAGCACAGTGTTTTGTACACAAATCATGGAATCCTACGATTTTAGACAATCGTTAGTCCTTTGTGGAATGGAATTCGTTCAGAAAAGAAATTCATGTAATATGGTGTCTCCCATCCCCAGAATAGATCTAGGGCTTCAGTGCAGTTTAAAATGTAATGTGGCTTAATGTACAGGACTCCCAGTCCAGGAAGTCAATTAGAAACAAAAGAGTAGCCTAAATACTTTTATTGAATCCTTGTCTTGGACTTGCGGTAGTTTGTTGAACAGGCATTTATTGGAGTGCCTGATAGATGCATTGAAGGTAATGGAAGAACTCCCTAACCCATGATAATTGATTCTGAAGAAAGACCCCTTAAAGTAGACCCACTTAACAGAGATTAAAATTTCACACACACATACCCAAAAAGAGTGGGAAAAGAGGCTTGCTTGGGACTTTTATCTTGAATGTCGACCTAGAAGATTATGAAAATAATTGCTTTTTATCTTTCACAAAATATAATTGCAACAGTGACTGATTTTGTAGAATAAGTCGTGTCGATTTGTCTGTGTCCCCTCCCTCCCTCCCTCCCTTCCTTTCCTTCTTTTTCTTTTCTTTCCTTTTTTTCTTTTTTCCCATTTATTTTATTGCATTTTAGGTTTTGGGGTACATGTGAAGAACATGGAAGATTGTTGCATAGGTACACACGTGGCAGTGTGATTTGTTGCCTTCCCCCCTATCACCCACATCTGGCATCTCTCCCCTTGCTATCTCTCCCCAGCTCCCCACCCCCCACC